CAATTGTAAATTTTATAATGTATTAAAAATATATATCATTAAAAAATTAAAAAAAAATCTTATTTTTTTAATGCAAGGACCGGTTGGGACCGGGACCGGAACCGACGGCCCATAACCGGTTATGAAGTACCTTGACCGGTCCTATCATTTTCGGTTGGGACCGAGACTGGGACCGGTTATGGCCGGTTATGAGAAAGATGAGGACCGATTGGGACCGGCCCGAGACCGGTTTTTGGCCATCTCTACCACACCGGATAAACTGATAAAATAGATGAAATACCTTTTTTTTTCTCATCCGAGCACTAAAAACTCCTTATTATCAGTACCAAATCGAAATAAGTTAATAAACACTTTTAATAAGCAATCCCAAACACCCCCTAAAACTAAGAGAGATCTAATTAAACTAAGGGCTTGTTTGTTTTTTTGAAAAAAACCACTTAATGTCTCTTAAGCCTGAATTAGTCAGACTTTTTTATTTTCTGACCGTTTCCCCCCCCTAAAATAAGAGCTGAAAAGCTCTTATTTTACTCTGAACAAAAAAGTGATAACGTAATCACTTAAATTCTCTTAATCGCTCCCTCCAAACTCTCCTCTCCATCCTCACCTCTAGATCCAGTCCTCCATATCTATCTCGCAAGACATTTGATCTCGAAATCAATCACGACCCAGATCAATCCACACACTCTCGACCTCCAAACAGTTTGACTGATTCAGATTTCAGACTTCAGACGTAAAAACCAACAATCTGATTGATTCAGATTTCAGACTTCAACACCACCTGCTTAAAAATCAGAAGTGAAATCAGACTTCAGACTTTAACACCTCTTAAAAAATAAACGCCATCTAACTGTTGAGGTTGATGTGTATAAGTTTTTACAAACTTTCTTTTAGAAGTGTCTTGTGATAATAAAAATTGTAAAATATCTTAATTATATAATTAATGTCAAAATATATTAAAATACAATGTAAAAATTAAACGTAGTTTTTTTTATTAACCTGAATATCCAACCCGCTATATGAGTCGACTAATCATACGACGACCACCCGTAAAGTCACCGCATTTGAACTTCGTGGCCACAAAGGTATTTTTATTCTCTTTGAACTCAAACCTGAATCTTTAAACACTTTTGATATTTAGAGTTTAAATTCAAACCAATCAGACACCACCTTTATGGTTCGTAGTTTTTTATAATATAGTTGTTGGAAATGCTATTAACAGCTTTGTATTTTTGATTAAATTACTTAAAAAGATAAAAAATTAAAATAAATGAATTATATTAATAAAATAATAATTAAACAGAACAAAGCAAAACGAAGTTGGATTCACACACGTACGCACCACTGTCAGCAACTGTAAAAAAGATTAAAAATTAATAACTTTCCACACTCACACCAACACATTTTCCCCACGCATATTTAAAGTTCCCTTTTTCTATTTCTAACATAATTGGTCCCTATAGTTTAAACTTATTTACATTTCAGTCCCTACACTTTAAAAGTCCATCACGATGTGTTGAAAATTTGATTGCTTTGATTTAAATGTGTAATAATCAATTTTATAGTTTTTTTTGACAAATTTGGTTTTGATTCTATGATTTTTAGATAAAATAATTCGGTTTAAGAAACACGTAAGAAGTTATTATGAGCTATATGATTAATACTGATTTTTTGAAGGTAAACTTAAAATCAGATAATAATTATTATTAAATTCGTGATCGTGATATTTTTAATTATCTGATTTTGATTTTTGAGTACTGTTGTAACACCTTTAGACAATGAAAGTTGAAATACGATGATTTGTAGGCCATCGATGAATCCTTGCTTTTTTTGTCATGGATTTTGATTCCTTTTATTAGCTCAGTAATGGAGCTGGAAAATACACTCAGATACACAAAAAAATACAGATTGTTTATAGTTTCTATTTGGATGGGGACGAAAATTATTTAGTCAATGGCTATACTCAATATCCAGATTTAACGTATGATTAATTCCATAAAATAACAAGAATGATGGGTCGTTTGTCAATACAAACTGAGTTAAATTATGGGTTAGCAAAATGGTCTGGTAAGATTACTGGTAAATAACATTATAGAATTGGGATCACGTGAGACCAATTTGTTTTCGTGAAACCCGTGAGACCATCTAAATAACAACGAATTTTCATAACAAGACATTGTGAATGTAGCATTCACAGTTTTTTTTATGTGGTTTTTGTACCTTCACAATGTTTTGATGTGAAGATTGAGTGTTATTTTGTGATCTTGCGAGATAACAGGTATAGAATGACAATCACAATAGTGATCTGATTAGGGTGTCAAAAATGATCGAAACCAGATAACCCATATGAACATAACGAGATTTGGGTTAGACGATTTTAGATTTTTCGGTTTTCAAGTTAAACTGTTCAGTTAAAAAACCAATTTAACCAACCGAATAAAACCCCAAGTCGAAAAGATGAGGGACTGAAATTGTAAAATTCACCTAAAGCTTAAACACCAAACCTCCCTTTATAAGAAGCCACCCAATTTTTCCAACTCCTTTTCCAATTTTCTCTTTCTCTTTTCTCTGCCCCTTCGTCTCTCTCTCTCTCTCTCTCCAGGGCTCTCACTGATACAAAAGCCTTGATATATCCCTCTGCTCGGCGGCCACCACCATTTTCGAACAGCTAATCATGTCCAGTTTATATGGTCAAAACTTCAATTTCTCACCTGCTCGAGCCCCTTCTTCTCCACATATATGGGCAAACCCAGATGTCGAAAGGTTAAAATCTGTTTTCCAAATAGAAATCTGTGTTTGTTTCTGGTTATTGATGTTTACACACTTCAAAATATCTTGATTTTGTTGATAATTTTATGTGTTTATGGGGTTTGTGATATGTTTGCAGTACGTATCTGGGAGAGCTACTTGAAGAAAAGCTGAAACTTGCGCCTTTTATGAGAGTTCTTCCCATTTGCAGTAAATTATTGAATCAAGGTTCAATCTATCTTCACTTTTTTTGGATCTAGTTTTCTAGTTTCGAATTGTTTCTGGGCATGTTTATGCATAAAATTACAATCAATCTGTTATGGGTATGTCTGAATTTTGTGTTTTGTGTTATGAATCTTGCATTTGTATCATACATTTTCAATTTGGATGATGATTTCAAGATCCTTTAATGATTTCCCAAATTCCCATTAATGGGGTTTTCAATCAATCTTTAAATGTGTATTCATTTCTTGCCTATGATGGATTGTTTGTTTGTTGTGAAGTCAATTGGAGGATTAAAATCCATTGTTTGAGGTGTTTCGAATCGATTTGAATACCGAAAAGGGAATGTTCTTAAAAAATAGAAAGTTTGCATTGAATTCAAACAATTTATAAGTATTAGATCACCTTGATTTGGTTTGGATGATGCAATTGATTTCATAGGATTAATTACTAATGATGCCAAACTTTGAGCGGTTTGATCATACGTTTTTCTTGCTATATGTAATGTAAGTATATTCATGAGTATGATGATAAGTGATGACGACAATTGGGCTAGCGGGTTTTTAAGCTTTAGTGACGTATTGAGGAACATCGACTAGCTAGACCGTCTAAAAGTGTGACCTTTTGTGTTAAAAGAGACAAGGTGATTGACATTACGAACAATCTCACATATTTTCGTTGCAAACTAACTATCTTTCTTGTGGAAATGCCAAAAGAACACTTGTAAGAACAAGCGATTATGGAAATGTAGGTGCAAAAATGTCTCGTTTTTGCAACATTTAGTGTTTTTTCGTTGCTTTTTTTACTAAAACAAGGAGTTATCTGCAACGAAAAGTCAAGTACAATGGTTGGAGAAGTCCAAATCCATCACTCCAAAAGAGATGCATTAGACGGTGATGAACCAAATGTGTACTCTTCTTTCGAGCAATTTGTTTTCTGAAATCTTTCTTCAACAACTTGAAGCAAAAAAAGAAATCCCTTTTCGTAATTGAAACATTTAACCGGCAATCATGAGCATACCAAATTTGCAAGATATCTTTCTTTAAAATGTTGATTGATTATGGGCTTCATCACCCTCCCAGAGATTATGCTTTCAAGCGGGATATACTGGGTTTGTATGGTTTATCAATAATTTTAATACTCTATCTCATCCACAGAGATATTTCGGGCTTCAGCAATGATACCCAACCAAGGTTTTAACGACTATGACAGACTGCAACGTGGTAGCCCGAGTCCTCTGAATCCTTCAGACGTTATGCCGGATATTGATGCTAATGGTTTAATCCGTTGGAACGGAAATGCCGGATGGAGTCCTCTTCAACATGAGGTGAATACCCGTCTTTCTTTTCATCTTAAATCTCTTATTTTGAAGTGTAACTTTTCACAAGACGAGAGTCTTCAGAGAAACTACCGCTCTACTCATTGTGGATAGAGTTCAAGTCTGCTTACGTCTAACCCTCCAGGATCCCACCTCCAGGTGGGATATACCTTGCTCGTCTGGTTTGTAGATTACAACCAACTTCATGAATTATACCGATTTTTAGGGGAATGCTATTGCTTTTTATCCTATTTTTGTCCAAGATCACATTTTTATCCTTATTTTGCTCCATATTTGGCACTATCTTCACCTTTGTGTCCCTGCCTCCCGTGCCCACGACAAACTGACGATCGGTGGTTAAGGGCGGTTCGCTCATTTAAGATACGGGATTTAAGAATTTCATTGATTTTTTCACTGATAAGTGCTTTTGTTTCATAGAGATTAGGTATGCCACCAGGATTGCCAATGGATCACTGGAATTCAGCACCGGCAAGCCCAAGTTCGTTCATCACAAAGAGGATCTTGCGCTTGGATATACCCGTCAACAACTTCCCTAATGTACGCTATACGTCTTTATAAGAAATTCATTAAGACATATCTCACGTTTTCGTAATCTTGACCAAAATTGTAACAAGCCGTCTCACTTGGATAGAACATTAGATTTGCGAGCTCCTTATAAGCTCAAAGTTGTAGGTCACACTAGTGGCTTCAACCATGGTTTTAAATTGATTTAGAGGTTATTGAGTCAACGTGATGATTTGGGTGAATGGGGCATTAAAAATTGGCAAAACTTATTGAAGTTCTTTTTTCTTCTTCTAAACGTCATCAGTTCAACTTCGTTGGAAGACTTCTAGGTCCTAGAGGCAATTCATTGAAGCGAGTTGAAGCCACAACCGGATGCCGTGTGTTTATTAGAGGCCAGGGATCCATCAAAGATCCCGAAAAGGTAAGATTACTCCTAAGTTCAAGATTCAATCTTTTTTTTTGGAAGGATGTCCCAGGCTATCAAACTGATCCTGACAAAATTTGACTGCAAGAAATCAACCCTGATAAACTCAGTGGCCACTATTGTTGTGTACGTCTAGAATTGAACCCTGAGCAGATTCAATCCGTAAGTCTTTATAAGTTGTGGGAACTTCCAGCTTTCATATACTCCTTAGACCTATGTGTTTAAAAATCATTTTGTTGTAAAAAGAGGTAAGATTACTCCTAACATGGAAAAATCTATCTGTTTAGGGTTTGAGGTTCAGGGTTTAGATTTCAGGCACTTTTTGATTAACGAGTTAGAAATCGTTTCTTTTTTCTTTCTTTTTTTTCGGAAGAGAAGGCAAGAATACCTCTACAATCAAGAAATCTGATCTTCCCTGTCTTTATAAGTTCTGGGTACTTTCCGCCTTTACGGAAAATTCCAAAAGGCCGATATTTTTCGCTTTTATAGAGGTAAGATCACTCCTAACATGGAAAAACCCGATTTTTTCGCCTTTATAAGTTTTGGGTACTATACAAATTTCACGTAGTTTTTAGAACTGTGTTAAAAATCGTTTCTTTTTTGTGAAAACAAGGCAAGAATATTCCTGACCTCGAAAAATCTGATCTTCAAGCCTTTTTAAGTTGTGGGTACTTGCAGATTTTATGTAATTTTGAAAGTTTTTCCGTTAAGAAATTGCTTCCTTTTTCGTGAAACAGGAGGAAAGTTTGAGGGGTAGACCGGGATATGAACACCTTAACGAACCGCTTCATATATTGATTGAGGCCGAGTTGCCTGCAAGCATCATCGATGTACGTTTGAGACAAGCTCAGGAAATCATCGAAGAACTGCTCAAACCCGTGGTATGTTTTCTTTTGCTGTATGCTGTACCCTATGTAGACACAGATATACACATGTATACATGGGTTTTCAGTTAAATGACCTTAAATAAGCTTTCAATTATCCGTATAATCTTTTTATGGAAAGAAGAGTAGACTTCACTTTTGGTCTATTGACATTTGTAAATTTTAACAGATATTGTCCCTAAACTTCGAAAACTTTGTTTTGATGGGTTATTCAGTTAAATGAACTTTCAGTTATCAGTATGATCCTTTTATAGAAAGAAGAGTAAACTTTACTCTTGGTCTCTAACGTTTGTAAATTTCAACAGATATTGTCCCTAAACTTGGAAAACTCGGATTTGGTCCCTCACATTTGTCCATTTCATAATGATTTTAGTTCCCCTTCTAACAGCCATTAACTTTTTTATATTAGTCCAATTACATGAGGGGCATTTTAGTCATTTTAAATAATTTTCTGTTAAGTCCATCATCACTCAATTAAATAAGGAGTATTATAGTCATCAAAAAATGTTTAAAATGACTAAAATACACCTCATTAACAGTCATTAGAAGGAGATACCAAAATTGTTATGAAATGATAAACATTGAGGGACCAAATTAGAGTTTTTAAAATTTAGGGACGATATCCGTTGAAATTGACAAATATTAGGGACCAAAGTGGAGTTTACTCTAAAAAGCATCTTTATAACCTTGAATGACATGCATTTAAGGCAAAATAGTATGGCCCTCCAAAATCTTGAGGATACATTGTACAAACGACCTTCATAGAAGGTCATTTAAGCAAATGTTTGGTGTAAGCTAACTTATTGAAACATTACTTGAAGTAACGTTTTGATAGTTTATTATCATTTTTTTCAATTATAACTCTTATTATTATTAATTATATATCAATAAAATTTAAATATTACTGATATTAATAAATATTAATTGTTACTTAGTTTTAATGATACATTACTCTTTAATATTATTTATTTCTTATTTACAATACTTATTAATTATATCAATTATTTTTTTAATATTTAAATATATTTAGTATAAAAACGCAAATATAACATTTTTAATAATGTTTATGTAACATAAACTTTAAAGTTATACTTATCTTGTTTCATAGATAATAAAAATAGGTTAAATAATTCAAATAAAATATTTAATTTAATTATTAAATATGTTTTTTTAGAAAAAATATTAATTAATTAATATATGTGAGGTAGACCCTTTTTATTTTTATTTTTATTTATGTAATGATTATTTAAAATCATAAATAATAGATTTTTAACTACTTTCTACCAAACATTACTCGTTTATTAACCAACTTATCGGTTAACAGATAGCTTATGAGCTAACAACCATCTTTTCAACCTACAACTACTCAACTAGCTTATCAGCAAGTTTTTTAGCCAATAATCGGCTTATCAGCCAGTCTGTGAAATATAACATTGATTATAGTTTTTTTTTTCCATTTCAGGATGAATCTCAAGATTTGTATAAGAGACAACAGTTAAGAGAGCTTGCTATGCTAAACTCAAACTTTAGAGAAGATAGTCCTCAACCGAGAGGCAGCATGTCGCCTTTCGGTTCAAGTGGCATGAAACGTGCAAAAACCGGTTGGTGACGAAACCCAAAACTTCCTTCTATCTTATGCGTAATGTACAACCCGTCGATGCATGTCCATCGTTCATGGATTCATACAGTCTTGCTGAAACCAACGTTGTTTTTGGTGATGGCGAAACAAGGAAAGAGCTTGTTGTAGTTTTGTTTTCGTTTTTTTTTTCTTTAGTTGATGTAGCTTTTGAACTGTAGTTTGTTTGTTTTTCTTTCGTTTTTGAAGTAGAAATAGTTATTGGATTTATTTATTATTGACATTTTACCTAAGTTTTTGCATTGAAAGTGGTTTCCAAGCTTTGAAAAACGACTGCTTAACAATCTTCTCGAGTTTTGGTTCAAAAATTGTGAACGGGAATTGGTTTCGTACGGTAAAAAAGTTTAAAAATAAAAAAAAGCAAAAAGACAAAATTGCCCTCATGTGAGGGGCAAGTGGGGAGAAAATTCAAAGTTAAGGGGTGAAGATTTGTTACTCTTGAAGTTGAGGGATGAAAACGGTAGTAAATCCAAACAACAGGGGGGAATTTTGTAATCTTATTGTTGGACCCGATGAATAGGCGGAGTTCTTTTTCTGTTGGATCTAATCCATTTTTCTCGGCTTCTTTGGCCATAATAAACGACGTCGCTATTTGTCGATCAACATTTGAAATTTGGAATTTGATGTGATCGGAGATGGGCAAGATTCCGGTGAAGATAAAGGCGGTGGTATACGCGTTGTCGCCGTATGAGCAGAAAACGATGAACGGTCTGTGGAAGGAACTCGTGAATAAGGTCACGCATAAGGTCACGGAAAATTGCCTTAACACCTTCTTCTTACTCGGCCCCCTCGTCGGCACCTACACGTACTTATTCACAACTCTCTCTCTCTCTCTCTCTCTCTCTATATATATATACTAGAAGCGTACTCGCGCAATGCAGCGAGATACATCGTGATTTTAATATTTCATTTTATTCTTTATCTCAGTCGATGTTATAATATGAC